GCCGGCGTCCCACAGCTGCCTCCATTGCCCCGCAGAGCTGAGCCCCAGCACCCCCACGAGATGGAAATCCAGCTGCGCCCAGTGAGACATCCCCCCTGTGGGAAAAAGCCACCCTGTGCCACTCAGACAGCGAGGGTTTTTTAATAAATACTTGTTTTTTTGCACAGAAATATACGAAGTTTTACAGAATACAAACTGCAGGGACAATGACCGCGCATCAAAGACAGAGGATGCAAAGTGCCCTTCTGTCTCCCTCCGGTCTTTTCCAGGCTCTGACCCCGACACTCGCTGTCAGGTCTTCCCACAGCCCCCATTTGCTAAGGCCAAGAGGCAGAATAAAGGCCTGGGAGGGGACAGACAAGGTGCCAGTGGCTGCCGCGCGTCCGTGCAGGAACGGCCCCGCTGGGCAACCCCCAGCTCCGGGCTGAGGGCGCCGGCTGCGGGAGCATCGCCAGGACCGTGCAGGGTGCAGGCAGCCACTGGACGTACAACAGCCTTTTGGTGCTGGTGGAGAGACTGGTGCTGGGCTGGACACCAAGGGGTTGGCAGTGCTGCGAGTTTTTGCTGGTCGGTGAGCACAACCCCCTTTTTAACCCATCAGATGTGACTGAGAAAGGCCAGCCCCATCGCATGGACCCCAAAAGCAGCTGCCCAGGAAAAGGGGACGCTCTGGCTCTGCCCTGCCCTGGCACACAACCACCTGGCGGTCAGGCGCAGCAGGGTTTGGGTTCGGCCCTGCTCCCAATCCCCCGGCATCGCCAGGTCATGGTAGGAGTCAGCTCCCACCCCCGCAGCCGCCTCTGTCCGGAGGCCTGCCACAGCCACGGCCACCAAGCACCCTGCCCACCGGAGGGGCCTGGGGGACAGCAGGGTCTCACATTCCCCTCCGCCTGCTCTGGAGGACAAAGAGGCCCAAAATCAGGGGCCAGGTGTGACGGAGAGGGCTGGGGTCAGGAGAGGGGACATTTAGCCCATCCACAGTCTGCCTGTGCTGGCACCCCACCTCTGGGGCAGACACCAGACAGGCCACACTCCAGGAAAGCGGAGCATCCCCACCGCTTAAAGCCATGGGACCATCCTGGTTCGAGGTCAGAACTGACCCCATCGGCCAGCTCTGCCACAGCCAGACCTCCGCCCGCCCGGCACCCCGCAGGGGGAAAGCGGAGAGCATCAGCAAAAGGCCCTGCTACTCCAAAGTCACTTACCTCACGTACAAGACCATCACGATCCCTCTCCCTTTTCCAAAGGGATCTAGGAGATCAGAGAGCACCTCCCCGACTGCTTCTCCCTGATCTCCGGACAGCGAATATCGCTACAGGCACCAGCGGATGGACCAGGCTCCCCACTCCCACCTGGCAGCAAATCCACACAGATCTCCCCAAGCACAGAGCGTGGACACCGACTGTGGGGAAGGACAGAAATTCGCTGCACCCCTCCTGCATCTCCATCTCCTACTCAGAGCCTCGAGCAGCAAAAGGGGGCCTGGAGAGGACACGGGGTAAGGCCCAGGGAGGCAGCGAGGCCATTTTAATCATGGGAAATGTTCTGTCTACTCAAGGGGAAGTGAGGAAATCCAGTGCACCATGGGGAGACCCCCACGTTGAGCCAGAACAAGCTGCCGCTCTGCTCCGGCTGCTACAGCACTTCTGTGAGGAGGGAGTGAGGGGCAGGAGACGGCTGGCTGGCGCCGGGGCCGTCCCCGCAGCCCTTTTCCCCGCAGCGGGGGCAGCGGCCACAATCTCTTCATACTTGGGCGGCGGGTCATTGTAGGAGACACTGGTCTCTTCGCCACTGCTGCTCTCCGGGTGGCCTGTCACCTCCTCGTAGGAAGGTGGAGGGGTGGCACTGGACAGGGACGGAGACTGAATGCTCCGGTGGGTAGAGGGTGCCGTCTTGCTGGGGGGAGCCACCAGCTCTGCCATCTCCAGCCACCCGGCTGCTCGCTTCTCGTTGGTACTGGGTCTCCCCTTGGCTTTGTGACCGCTCCCGGTACACCATGACCCTGGGGAGGCTGCGTCCCGTTCGGCTGGCCAGGTAACGGTTCTGGGCATAGGAAGGGCGGTGACGGGTGGCCTTTTGAAGCTGGCACCTCCAGATGATGAAGAGGGCGATGACGATCAGAAGAGCCACTCCCAAGAGGGGCACTACCACATACATAGCATCTGAGCGCTCCGTGCTGTGCCCGGGGTCCTTGACCGAGTAGACAGAGTTGGTGTAGTCCTTCCAAAACTCCATCTGTGGCAGGAACAGAGAAGCAACTGTCATGAGCTGCAGGTGGGACAAGCACCCCCTGACCACCACCAGCAATAATCACTGCCCTCCCTAGGCCCACAAAAGAGGCAGTTTTTCAGCTGTCCCCCACCGCTCTCACCAGGGCTGCCAGCATCTGAGCGGCTGTGGGAACCAACAGAAAAGCCCATGGGAACATCCCTCAACAGCAGCCAACAGCCCCCACACCCAGCAGGGAGAAATCTGGCTAACACCAACCCCAGCCTGGAGAGTCGTGGGCAACAGCCCAAACTTCCCACGCATGCTATGGCAGCGCCAGCTCGACCTGCAGCTGTGGGCAGGGTGTCCTGGCAAGGCCAAGGCGAGAGCATTGCCCGGGAAGGGAAAGACGTGCTGAAAAGCGAGGCCACAGCATGCTGCCTGCAGACAGAAGAGGAGAAAGGGAACAGGAGAGGCTGTTCCCCCTGTGCTTTGCTCCTCCATCTGCAGCTTGCTAAGGCGTAAGCCCTCACACTGGGGAGCAGGGCAGGACAAACACACCGTCTTCTCCTTGTTCTCGAACACTTCCTTGACCTCCTCATAGCTGCAAACCTCCTCAATGCACTCGCGCTCGATGGTGCCCTGCCGGATCTCCTCCAGGAAGCCGTTGGCTCGGGGAAAGCGCTTCAGGACCGAGTGGGCATTCCTAGCCCCCAAGAACACTGCAACACACAAGGCAGAGACATGCTGAGCTGGGACAACCCCACACTCGGCCTCTGCCCAGCCCAGCTTTCCCACCTGGCTTCCCACAGGATTTTGGTGATACAAGGCATCCCAAACGCCCAGGGCTGCGATTCAGTTAGCCGAACAGAGTGCCTGTGGAGGGGGAGCACAACAGAGGGGCACAGGGCTCTTGGGGTCTGCCCGGAGACATACGGCACCGGGAGCATCCTCCGGGCAGAGCAGAGATGCTAGAGACCTCAGAAGCGGCGGCTGCAAACCACACAGGGCAGCTGAAGAGGCGGAAGGCTGCAAAAAGACTTGTTTTCAACCTCCTGCCCTTGGCGGGATTTCACGTTGCTGCCCCTTTGCTGCAGGGCAAGGGAGATCCCACGGGGATCCCCGCAGAGCAGGGACACAGAGCCAGGCCTCCCTGCCAAGACACAGGGCCAGCACCAAGGCAGGCTCAGCACACAGAGCACAGGGTGCATCGTTCCACAGTGACCCCCGCATCGCCCCAGAGCCTCCACTCCCGCTCCACACCTCCACGGCCCCCCAGGAGGGCAGCCAGCTGGATGGAAGCTGGTGTCACGCAGGGTCACGCAAGCTCAGGTGGCTTCAGGGATGCTGTTCAGGTCCCAGAGAAGCCACTGCGTCTTCCCCCAGGCCCAACAAGGGCAAACATCCCCAACACGCAGGGGGTCACGAGTCAGATGCCAAAAGGGGTCTGAGCAACCTCTCCTCACACGGCATCGCGTTCTCACCCCTACTGCATTTTGGCGCAGAGGTCTCACAAACCCTCCTCTGCTCCAAAGCCTGGGAGACTCCATGTTGCCCACACTAGATCTTTCCACTGAGCATGCAGTCAGGAAGCCAGACCGGGCAGGAACAGCACCCTCCTGCCTGCGACAGACACAGCCCTTTCAAAGCGTCTCCCCCCACATTCTGCAGAAGGGAGACCTCCACGGGGTGCAGAGGGAAAGCACCTGCCAGGGCCTGCAGCAACACAGGAGAGGCAAGCAAGTTGTAGCCCAGAAAGCAGAAACTCCACGCAAACCAGGAGCCTTCCAGGATCCAAACAGCCCATGCACACATTTCGTAAGAGTGCTTCCGTCATGCAGCTCAACACACTCAGCTGCAGGCTGGCACTGTCTCCTCCCACCCAGCCACATCATGGTGCTGCTTCCCTCCAGGAAGATGAATCAGTTCAGCTGGCTGATCCGCAGACCCCTGTTTACCTCCTTCGCCCTCAGCCTCAGCCTTCCATCGGATCAACCAGATGAACCAACTCACGCTGCAGCAACATCAAGAGATGCAGGACAACGAGGCAAGGGGACAGCCGGAGTCTCCCACTAGACCAGCCTGGCTGTAACACAGAAACACTCAGTAAGGAGCTTGGTGAAGATCAAACACAACAGTTAGTGAGAAGCTACCACCTCCTCTCATTAGGAGCCTTTTACCAGAGACCTGCAGTTTTCCTTCTGCTTTACCTTCCGTGTCTCCTGCTCCTAAAACAATACAGCAAGGTATTTGTGCGAGTGAAAGTCAAGGCAGGGACAAGCTCATGGCGTAAGCAACTACTGCTGTGCTACGCCATCCCATGCTCAGAGGCACCGTGCTCGTTTTGTGCTGTGTAGGTGCATTTTCCCTCCGTGATTTATTAATGGCTTTGCTTCAGTGAGAGAGCTTGCAGAGGGCTGAACCACTGAGGTGTGAATGAAGAGCAGCATGAATGACGTGAGTCAGAGACCTTTCCTCAGAATCAACTTTATTATGCAAACCCTTTTTTCTTTTTTTAACAAGGACAATGAAAAAAGCATTTTCAAGAGGCACAGAAGGCATCTCGCAGCAGTGCGGAGACCAGCTTGCCTGGGCTTTCGCGGTCGAGGAGGGCTGTGCTGGCCGGAGAGGGAGCAGGCTGGCAGGCCGATCTTCTCTTGAGCCTTTCCAGAATGAGACGAAATTTTACAAAGACACCATCCATTCTGCAAATGTCCCATCCTTTGACGGAGAAGTCTGGCCTCACCTCCTTTGCCTCCCGCCTCGGTCAGGCTGCGGTATCGACTCTCCCCTCCTCAGCGCTTGAGTCTGAGCCTCTTTCCAACTTCCTCAGCACACCATGGAGCAACAAGCCCGGCCGCACATCTCACTGCCAGGGTTTTCCATCCCTGCGGATATCCGTCACTTGACCCCCTCTCTGCTTTGCCATGCTGAACTGGCCACTGTGGTGGGAAATAAAAACAGACACACGGGCAGGCAGGCATCACGAGCAATGTCCCGACTGATAGCATGCTGCGATGGAGCTGTGTTCCTCTCCCCACACCCAATTTCCCTCAAGGACCAAGAAATGGCAGAAGAGCAGAAACTAAATCACCACTCCCTCCCCTCTTTTACAGGGGAAGTGCAAAGAGCTCCCCTGTGCCTGGGGACTGGAGCGGGAAAACCAAGGGCCTTCAGCAAACAAGAGCCTGGCCAACTCTCGCCTCCAGCCTGGCTCCCCGCGTGACACGAGCTGAGCAGGGATCATCCACGGACCGCGGGGCAGAGGGGACTGCCCGAGGCCCAGCAGCCCCGGTACTGACCCCTGTGCCTCTCCAAGTCTCCCCACACCAGCTGGAGAACCGGTGCTCAGGCAAGACCGGAGATCGAGGCAGGGGCAGCAGGCTGCACGCTGCCAGGGAGCTCGCGAGGTGGACACGCTGACCACCGCATCCCGCTCCTGCACATCAGGGTCACCACGAAGGGGACTGCTTGGCAGTGGGCACTGCCACCACAGGGGACACCTCCCACCACCTGTAAGCGCTGGTGAGCCAGCGCCTGAGCCTTGGGAGGGAGAAAAGGCTGCAGTGGAGGAAGGCAGGGACCCAGCTAGGTACCCTCCTCCTTCACAGAAGATTAAAAACGCCTTCTAAAAACACTGCCTGAAGATCTCTGCTCTTCCCGCCCCCGGCACAGCACAGATAATGAAAGAAGGCATACCTGTCATCCCTGGGGTCCTCCTCCTGCCCAGCACGGCTACTGCCTCCACCTTCACAGCTGGCTCCGGCAACGCCCTCAGCAAATCCCGAGATCCCAGCCAGATCTCTACATCTCCCTGCTCACACCCGCCGTCCGCCTTGAGCTCCCATCACATCGCTGCACGCAGCCTCCGCGCAGGCTGCCCAGAAGAGCGAGGAGGGAGGGTTGAGTCCAGCTCTTCACAGACCACACGCCATCCTCCACCCTGCACCCTCACCGGTCTCAGCCCAGCTTTAGCCGCTGGCCCACCAGCCCCATCTGCCATGCGCTGGAGACGCAGCAAGCTCCGGGGGGGGCCGAGTGCGGCAGCTGCCCACCCAGGGGGAACGCAGAGCCCCAGTGCCACCAGCCATGCCAGCTGCCAGGCAGGGTGGCCTCCCGGATGGGCAGCTCGTGGGATGCCAGTCACGGGCCGTGAGCAGAACCGGTGCCAGGAGATGTCAGCGCAGACCAGCAACCCCCGCAGAGGGGCCGGTCAGTGCAAAGGGCCTCAGGGAGGCCTGCCTCGCACAGCGAGCTCCATGCAAACACAGAAATGCTGCAGCATGCGGGGAGTCCCGGAGAGGTCAGCCCTGCAGCACCTCCTCTTGACTCCCACCTTGCACAAGGGAGAGAGAAGCATAAGTCAGGCCGGACCTCAGACCTCATCCAGGGATAACAGCCGATGGCATCTGCTCCCCACAGAGAATAATACCCTCCCAGAAAAGCACAGGCACCCCTTCCATCAGAGGTGGCTGCCAGGCATTCCCCTTCTCTCCTCCAGCACCACTGCCACCTCTCCATCTTGACTGGGGAACACTTACTTGCCATGCTGCCTCACTCGGCTACGGGGGGCTCCTGCCTACCTGCAGGGAAGAAAACAGGAGAGTCACTGACAGCTTACATTTCACCCCCTGACGCCCAAGACCTCCGTCGCCCAGGGTCAGATCCATGCAGAGTGCTGTCTGGTGGACGCCGAGGCGTTCCCAGCCAAGCTGTGCCAAGCACCGGCCCTGCCTGCCCACTCACCGCACAGTGGGGTGACCAGAGGGGCTCAGGGGACCCTCGGCTCTCCAAGAGCCCACGGCAGGTCTCTGCCGTACTCGCGCTGCACCAGCCCAGGGAGGGCCAGGGCTCTGCCCAGGAAGCCCAGAGGGCTGCAGACAAGTGAAGTGGGAAGGGAAGAACTGGACGAAGGAGAATCCCCGTATCTCATCAGCAGATGCGATGACCTGCATGTCAGACGCTGCTGGAAGCAGCCTGGTGCTCTCCCCTTCCACAAGAGATTGATGGACAGAGGTAAAGCAGTCACCCTGTTTTAAATCCACTTCACAGCCGTGCCAGTTCTCACTTCTGCGACTCCTACCCACAATCTGCAATAAACAGGGCTGTACTGTTTTGTCCATAAAGCCTGCCATAAAGCCAGCTACACAGCAGGACAGAAAAGGATATGCATTTCCTAAAGGTTGTTGGGCCAAGCTAAGGGCAGCAGCAAGAGTAACAGAGCTCCCTGCGCACCCGCGACAACAGCTCTCCAGCTGGAAAAGCACCTTTCGTGCTTCAAAAGCAGAACTAAGCTAAACTAAACCCCACAAGAGCAAAACAAAGTCCTGCAGCAGCAGAGCACATCCCTCTCTGCTCGCAGGAGGAGTTTCACTCACTCGTTTTTCACGCTTTGCCTTCTCCCTGTGCTCAATGCCTCACCAACCAGACTATCCTGGGCACACTCTTCTCCTCTTGCCTTGTGTGACACCTTGCTGTGGCAAAGCCACCTCTCTGTCAGGAGACAGAGGGGACAGGACTAACCAGCTCCTACAGGGATTTATTGCGGATGAAGAAACAAACATGGTTAGAAACAGCAGGAACTAAACCACCTGCTGATCTTAAGTCCAGGACTTCAGCTGTTTCAGAGTGATCCCCAAATCACTCGAATCTGCTCAGCCGGAGCGAGGTCAGGGACAGCACCGTGCCGTTCACAGGGCCAGCGGGGCCAGGAATGCATTTGTTATTTCAGGTCACAGGCAGTCATCCGGATGCACGGCAGGGCCGATGCACACCCCCGCAGCAGGCACTGCCGCACCTCACCAACAGCCCCCTCCTCAGCACACCCAGCACCCCTCCCTGCCAACGCCAGGCTTCCCGCGGTCTCTGAGGTTCCTGCACCAGAAGTGGCAAGAGGCCAAGCAAGCCCGGAGCAGAAAGCAGCTTCTTTCCAACAGTTTGCGAAATTCGGATTGCAAACCGCAGTCTGGAGTTTAAGCGCGAGCGAGGGAAGGCAGCAGAGCACCAGAATTTCACAGGAGGGGTCTGCCGGCTCCTGCACCCCACGGCCCATGCCAGGAGGCTTTTTCTCAAGACACTGCACACCCAGCCCGGCTCTCTGAGGGTGCGAGAGCCGCGGAGAGGCCTCCGGATCCCTGCCGTCCCCACAGGCGGTGTCAGGTCCGCGCCGGGACCCGCCGCACTGCTTGTCG